CCCACAGCAGTGCGTGTATGTGAGCAGCACAGTCACAAGCTAGAAGCATGAATTGTAGCATCTAAGTCACTGAAGGCATACAGGAGCCACACAGATGGATGCAGTCCCCTCTGATCTCCACTTTATACAGGAATACTATTGCTCAAGTAGCAGCAGAGGGAGTAGCTGTGGAAAAAGTCCATGCCTGTTACAAGCAAAATGACACCCAGTCATCAAGCTGAACCAGTGCAAGCACACAGGAGACAGGCTATTGGTGCCTTTGTTATCTGCCCAGCGTCGCAGCTGCTTGCTGTTATACTCCACTGCCCTTTTCCAATATATAACGCTACAACATCACCCAAGATAATAAGGTTTTGATCACAGCAAGACGCTCACAACAGCAAACAGTCCGGGCACACAGAGATCAAATAGACCAGCTGCAAACAGAAAAAAAAAATAAAAGGAGTGCATATGACTCGCTGGCGTGTGTGGGTATGCATGCTATGCGGGCAGCAGAGGCCGGGATGCGAAGGTCTCCCAGCGACCCCGGCCCTTTGGGCTCATGCCCCAGCACCGTGCCGCATTCCAGCCTCTCCCGGCCTGCTGCCCTGCTTGCACAGAGGGGCAGCCAGACGTGGATGTGAGAAAGCTCTCTCAGGCGATTCCCTTCTGCAGGTTGCTGGGGAGTTGTCTCCCAAAATCATCGCAATTAAAAGGGGTATGTGCAAAAATGGAGCTGGGATACGGGCTTGCATTTTATTTTATTTTTTTACCATGTCTTGGTAGCATGCAAACATGGTGAAAAGGCTTTTTTCCTGACAACATAGTTCTCAGTGCCCCTTCCACTCCATTCCTTATCCCTTCAGATCAAAACCCATGAGCAATATTTTTCAGGGCCATTTACATCTGTTTAGTGTGGTTAATAAGTTGATTTTCCAATGGACATACATCCGTTTGGAGATACAGACACACAGCCAAGTTTGGGTGGCTGCTGTGCCAGTGCAAACTAATTTCCATAAAGGTTGAAGAGAAACCACAGAGTCCTTCTTCACTTCCCTTTTTCTTTCAGAATACATAGTACAAATTTGAATCTGGGTGTGGACCTGAATTCTGTGAATCCTTTCTTCTTGCTTATACTTTAAGCCTAGAGGAATTTGGAAAGCAGAGCTCTCTGAACTGTGATATTCACATCTTTCTAAGGAAACAGAGCCAACATATCATGAAGACATTTTACCTGTTTTAATATTCAAATTATTACTGTGAAAGAGTGTGTGACACAAGGTGTAGGGGGTATACAACGGTGGAGAATGGCATGATATGGAAGAGTCATAAGAATAAACTATGGGATGATCCAGAGACAGCCAGTTACTCTCCACTGCATGAAAGCTGAATGGGTGTTGGATGCTCTATTCCAACAGCCTGGCCAACCGCGGGTAAATCATTGCATCTCTTTGTCCATCTATGGCCTGGGATAATTCTATGTTTCTGCCTCACAAAGGGTAAGGATAAAGCAACATTCAGGAGCTGTTTCAGTGTTACACAAACAGCAGCTATAGAAACTCCGTGGAATCGGGGAACAGTATAGTCATGGAAAAAAAATAAAATAAAAAGAGAAAATACAGTCTCAATGACTTCTATAGGGAATACGCTATTTGGATTTTTTCCTGTAACAGTAATTTCCAACAGGAAATATTTTTGCTGAAGTACAAAGGCCCTGAATGTCAGCAGCTTCCACTTGTCATTTACACCTGTTGCAAATTTAAACTGCTGCAGTCTTGCGTTGCTTTCATCTCCATGTATTTTCCACAGGTACACACAGCTCAGCGACCGGCGTGCTTTGAAGCATCAGAAATAGTGCTCTGCAGGTAGTAGGAGCTTTGTTTTGGTGTGTTGTAGAACTGTATCTGCACAGAGTTCAATGAACTGCCTGTATCGTACAGGTACCAAGAGTTCATATTCAGACCTCTGGGCAGTTCAGATATCAACTCCAACAGTACACATTCTAACACACAAGAATATTGGTAATTCAAGGCAAAACCAAACTTCATTCCTTTGTTCTTGGCTGGAAACTTTTTCTTTGAGAAAGATTCTTTTCAAGCTTTTATGGAAAGAGTGCCATTTCATTCTGTCAGAAGTTGAAGAATGAACTTGTAGAAGTGTCCCTTATCGGCCAGTGATATTGTTGCTATTATGTGATGTTCTGGATACTCTGTGAACTAACTGGGACCTAATCTTATAAACATATAGACTCAGAGAATAATGGACAGTTCAGGATTCATTCTCGTATGTCCTAGAGTGTGGGATATTAGGAGAATCTCTAGAAAAAGTGGGGAGACCTTAGAACAGGCTATTGATAGAGGTGGTGTGTTCACCATTCCTGGAGGTGTTCAAGGTGTGGATGTGGCACTGAGGGACATGGTCAGTGGGTGTGGTGGTGATGCGCTGCTGGCTGGACTTGGTGATCTTTAGAGGTGTTTTCCAACCTTAAGGATTCCAAGATTCTATGATTCTATCACCAAGGCCCTGCCTGATGCACAGCACTGTCATCTAGAATGGAACCCTGTGCTGCTCAGGTGCAAATGTTAAATGTTAAATGTTAAAAACAGTAAATGTTTAACCTCAGCAGATTTCTCAGCCAGTAAACCTCCACAGAGAAACCTTCACATTCTGCTCTCTTTAAAACACGTGCATAAACAGACTTGTTGGACACAGTAGGACAAAGCTACAGCTAGGAGGCTCCTAGACCTCAATCAGCAGCACGGCAACAGCCATTGCTTTTCCATCCTGAGAGGTGCAGCAGGGGACTGAAAAGCTCTGAAGAAAAGGTGTACACACACACACACACACACACACTGCATGCACCTCACAAGGAGAAATAAAAGCACATCATCTGAGTTTGCTTAGGTTTAGCGAAGGTCAGAGATTTTCGCACCTAGGTGAGCTGTCATC